TGATACTTATGTTTACAAAGCAAGCATTTTTTGTACGTCGTTAGACAAACCACAAGGCCTTTGTTCGTGTTTTAAGTCAGACGTTCTCAATAATCATCTATATATTTTAAAACCACTTCCAGTCTAGATCTATCTAGAAATAACTAATAATGTCCCAGTGACCTTGCCACAACTGGAAACCTATAAATCAATAAGAAAATCATTTTTTAGAAAATTAGTCAGATATTTTGTGATAGAGTCATAATCCACAGTTTTTTAAATGTAGAATTGATCTGGGGACCTCAACTGGTCCTTTTACTTGGTTCATTATTTATGATTGCTAAATCGTTTTAAAACACGTTTTCAATTATTTTGGTTTATTTACTGATAGTTGCTACACGCTTTAACTTTATACCTTTTTGTTATATCGTCTCAACGAGTCTATGAAATGATGAAATCAGTATCTATTATGATTAAAATTTTTATAGTTGTAGATTTTATAGTTCGTTGACTTAAAATGCAATGTAATTCTGCGATTAAGGGGTTGTAACTGATACGAAATCGAAATCACAATAACCTTCCCTTGAATATTAGCTATGTGTGGGTTACTTATGAGTTCCAATTTCTAAGATTTACAGAAAATAATGCTTGTGTAAAGTCCATAAATGGTGTAAGATCATCTGATAATAGCGAATATATACTTTTGAGCACCTGCGATACAGGAAGAAACAATATTGTCGAGGTAATTAGATTTTCCTTAATACCATGTAATGTCATTATAATGACCATCACAACCCCGGGGTAAGCAATGGACATGTGATAGATACCACAGGTTTAATAACCCGATTAGGCGAGCCAGAGACCATTCTGATACTCAGACCCAGACTATATATTCTAGAAGGATACTGAGAGAAGGTAGCAGTGATATCTCACGACAACCAGAGACTTATATGTTTAAATGTCTGGGCGAGCAAACTAGGGAGATTCTGCACCGCTTAAATTTTCCCTACCCTATCCCATCGGTGGTGTAATACCATGTTAACATGTAGGTTATAGGTTAATTCGGAAATTTACTAAGCACTATTGTCTCATAACAACATCTTCGCTCACTCGGCTCCCGTCGGTCGGATGAACGCAGTGAAGGCCGAACGTGCGAAGATGAGTAATGACGTGATGTTGGAAATTCTTGATCACGCATGACCTTCGTGTCGCCATAAGGTATGAGTTTCATAATCAAACATGAAATATAAGAAAATCCCGACCAATAATTAGCATGAGACACGTAGCGTTCTTTATTAAGTACGAACATTCTTGATATTCACCACCCCCTCATCATGGGATATAACAAACTTGTGCTTTGAAGCCCATAAAACAACACTTTCCTTTCTGGTTTTACACCATTGACAATTCATTTTCAAGAACGGAGATAAAAATGGTGATAAAATATCACAAAGATTTCGGATTACTTCCAGTGAGTTGCTCTCGATTTCCTGTTATATCCTATATCTCAGAATTGTCTCAAGATTGTAATAAAACTTAACATAAACAGTATTAACTATTCTTGTGCTCCAACAATTAGTTCTTTAACGGTAAAGAAAATAATATAAGTTATATTTTGTAGTGAATCCTTTTTGCTCGTTATTAAGGATGAAGAGGTGAGTTTCTTCCATGAACTGCCAATTTTGATTACAAAAGCCTACCAATTTTGAAAGAATATTGATATGCCAATTTTGACCAGCAGCAGAATGAGAATTTTAGAATTTTACCCAAGTAATTCTTGAAATCAAACAAGAAAGGGGTAGTTATACTGCTCCTTTTTGACTGGGTTCGCAAGATACCCCCATAGGACTTAAAGGAAACGGACATGGTGATTGCCAAGCCTTCACTTGTGTCGTACCATGATCACCGTACAGTGATTACGGATAAACTCAAAGACGACAGTTAATTTTACATACAATAGGTATAAGCCTATGTATATGTTTCATATTATTCACGGTCTCCGATACTACCCAACGTAAATCGTTCCGGACTTGTTTTTCATAACCATTTGGACTTGATTTATGGAAAAAAGTAGAGGTAGGTTTGTAAATCTGGTCATGAACTTGCTTTCACTTGACTTTATATAAATTATAACACAATTAGATAACTTACCATACTATATACCCTATCTTCAGGCACACGCAAACGCCTTTTTGTACGAACCGTTTGCTATAGTCTTGTTATTTCGGGATGTGAGCGATTCTGCAAGTGTTTTCACCTATTTTGCCTGATAATCACCAGCCTGCCTTGTATCCAATGAATACACCGATTTATAATGAAAGTAGCCATATTGTGAAGGAAAATCATGATTTAAAATGGTTTAAATGAGTAGCAATTGTCGAAAGAATATTTTTTAGATTTAACCATTTGGACGTGACCTAAATATTCCAGTTAATGATGTTGACTTGTTATTGGAACGTTTCTGACTTGTGTTATTGGAACGTTTCTGACTTGTAGAACACAATGAACCATTTTTAAGTGTGGAACAGCTCAATAAACTTTATAGATTTCCAACAAAATAGTGGAAGAAGTTGTCTGAGTGATACTATCTAAATGATCATCATTAATTAAACGTATTAAGAGATACTTGTCAAGGTTGAATTAGGGAATCATTACAGATACATGTTCGTTACTTGATACTTTCAAGGGGCAAGAATGTATGTAGAGAGAAAAGTTGATTTTTTTACTTGTTCTTGTGTTTTGCCTCTTCGCTTTTTTAAAGACTTCACTCGTCGCTATTTTCAATTTGTCTATGAAAAAATGTGAGCATAAGTTTGCCTCGAATAAGACTTTAAAACCATCTTATTGGCTTCAAACTGACTTCCATGCTTATATTAATGCTAAGCAAGAAGTTTTGTGAAAGTTGAGAAGAAATAATTAGTTTTAATCGTTATTTACTGTTAAAAATCTACTGGTTTGCCCCTAGATTATTAACAATTTGATTCATTATTATTTGTTATAATTTCATAATTTGCCTCACTGCATGCAGGTTTTTGCCTCGGATTCTTCTTTAGACTTTCCCCTTAACTTCCAATGCACTAAATACGTTCAAAAAGCTCAGCGTCGCCTCTTTTAAATGGCCTGGGTTTTGACTCTTTTTAATACGAGAGATGTGTCGCCTAAGACAGGATTTGCTGTAAACTTACAATAATAATATTAGCCCCAAATGTATTTTGAAAAGAATATATAGAAACACCATCGATCGCCGAAATACGATCTATGCCCGCATATACATGGATTCCATCATCTTTTTTATTTGACACATGGCCTTGAATCGCATGCGCTTCTGAAGAGGACTGGGTTCAACGTATTCTTCCTCCTATATCGAGGTGCCATCATCAAATGACAGCCTTGAGCCTAATTTATCACACATCCGGAATCCATAATCCAGTGTTTTGTAACGCCATATGCCTTTATCGCGAAAAGGGACGTCAAGCCTGAATAAATCGGAGGGATGGTCCCTCTTGAAGTGTTCAAAGAATATATTTTTATCTGCACTTTTAAAAGTACATTCGTGGCACTTGTTTCTGGGAACTGAAATTACAAAATCTGTGAATATTTCGTACAAAAACTCCTCTAAAACATAATCATACTAAATCCAATTATTCCAGAAGCATAGACAATTCATCAAACAATGGAACGTATAAATACCATTACAAGACAATTCCTAATCGTTATTTTTTATCACGTTGTGCACAATTCGCAGTCGTTCACCTAGTGATTATAAGACAAGTCCGTGTCAGAATAAGGACCATTCGCCGTCGTTAACTCCACTTTTTACATTACGGTCATTTATGGAAATTTGAAGGTACAGATAGTTAAAACATTAACACGATCTTTAATGTAGAGAATATTGTTCCACGTTATAAATGACTTTTTTGTTTAAACATAGTTAAATGACAATAATGCAGATTTAGAGCATATTTCTGGCATTTCTGTTATTTAATGCCGATAAATATGAACTATGATGGCACGATCGCCAAATTAGATATGTGGGTATGAAAAAGAATGTTTTAAGTAGAAGTTAGCGTATGTATTTTTCTAAACGATTGAATTATATTACATTTTTGAGCCATTCTGGTGAATGTCTCATCTCATTCTCCTACCGAAATGAGTCCAAATGGTTATGAAAAACAAGTCCGGAACGATTTACGATGGGTAGTATCGGAGACCGTGTTATTCATATCATGCTCATGTTTAGTCATTGAAGTCTATTGTCTTCGGATTAGCTAGTGTAGTGAAAGTGAACCTTGATGTGTTATCTAAGTCGTATCAGAATTATAAGAGAATCAAAGAGCATGTAAACAATAACTCAGAATATCACCATATCAATCCCATAATTCTTTGATTTATCAGGTATATTTATTAGAGCCCCAGGAATCAAGCAGTAAAATAATCTACAAATTGCAGCAAAATTGTACACGTGTAAGTTACATTCGGCTTTAATAAAGAATTTCCTAGTTTTCGTTTATATGTATTTGATTGAACTGGTTGTTCGTTAAACATTTCTTTCATGAAAATGAAATTAATTTTACGAGGAATGTCATAGGTGAAAGCACGTGATAATACGTGGTGAAAAAGTTCTGTACTTTAGAATTCAGATTTTACCGAAGCAAGAATCCGAGACCCAGATTGTGACAAAATCGTGAAACTGCAGTAAAGGGGCCCCCAGTAAACTTAGATATTATCTTACATTATATCAAATATAAAATCTCAAACAGATACACGTAATTTCCAAATGGTCATAAAGTATATACTCAGCAAAAGGGACGTATGTAGCACAAAAGCAAAACATATGATTGATATCATTTGTATGAAAAATTAAAGTGTAAAAATGTTCGACGGTATTTCCTTGTATAAGGTGTGGTGTTGATGTTGAACTTTTTCACTCTTTTGGGGGAGGGTTCTATCCATTATTCTACCATACACCTCAAGTGCTTATCAAAATGATATAAAAGAGAGAGTTCATTATTACGTACAGCACGTTACGTCCTTTGGTTGACCCTGTAATCTTAATTCCACGCGTACATTTGCAAATCCTTTATCTAACTGAACTGTCATATGACAATTTGGGATCAGAGTCACCCACCTACCTTAGTTGGATAATCATTTTATGATCTGACGATGAAGCTGTTGATTTTTCTCGCGTGCTGTGTGCTTGCCTATGCCCAGGCACCTGGGCGATGCAGTAAGTGTTTTAATTTGGCTTAATTGTTGATTGTACAAGGGGTGATCCAAAAGTGAAATTGATTTTTTTCAAAAACCATCAAAATTATAGCAGGGCGTCCAAAACTTTTGGATCACCCCTCGTATAACTGTTCTAAAATGTTGCTCATTACGCTTTCTTTTAGCTTATTTAATAATTTAATCGGTAACACTTTGTAATCAAAAAACCTAACTACTATGATCGTTTGTCAAGTTTGAAATCGAAATTATGTTTTACATTAAATATATGTTTTATATAATTCAGTGTTGACTCCCGCTACACTTTAATATGTATTTTATTTCTCAAGAGCTCGGGACGCGTGAGCTCCTTGCTTGTGTTTATTCAAATGCATCCAAATTCAAATGCAACTAACGCCTGTCGGCTACCGGATTAGCCTACTATTTCATGACCAACTCATTTTCATACGAACGGAATAGTGGCAGGTACTATTCAAATTTAAATGAGTTGCCCATAAAATAGCAAGTTAATCCGGTAGCTGACAGGCGTTGGTTGCATTTGCGAAGACAGAGAAATAATGAAGTAAGAACAGCACTCTATTTTAGTAACAGTATAATTTCATTTCGAGAGCTGTTCTAGTGACTTATACTTTTTAGAAAAAAAGCAATACAATTCTAGTATCTTACGATTTACCAGTATATACACATTTTCGTTGCAAAATTGGTTTTGTTTGAAATACTGAGATAAGATTAATTTTTGTTTGTTGAAAAAATATCGTATTGTCTCGCCCATCCCGCTCATGAAAATCGTATTCACGTCCGAATCGCGCTCACGAAAATGGTATTCACCTCCCGCGGCGAATGTTTGCCCTAGAAAGCTTCCTATTACGATCAGTTCGGTCGATATAGCGTGCTATAATGATATTCTTATGTGAGAAACGATAATTTCCAAACAAAATTGAAAATAGAGATTTTGAGACGCAAGAAGTATGCCTATTAAACATGCATAGTATTGTTATTATTTCATCATCATGCTCTGACACGGACAGTCAACGTCACAGAAATTTGAGCAATATGCGAATGCCCTGTATTGTTAATTTTTGTGATGTTGATGTGTTAATGTCATATACAATTAAATTCTTATATTTCAAAATGTCATAAAATTAAGTCATATTTTGTTAATAAGATAATCGAGAAATTCTCGCAACAGCAAAAAAGAAGGCCACGTGGTGACTTTCCACTTGTGGTTACTTTCTCTTGTTGACATTCCACATGTCAACAATATAATCTAATTGTTTGCCAATATAGTTTACAAAAATACGATTTGGAAATATTTCTACCTTGTCTGAAATTCTCTATTGCAATTACATAAAAATCAAATTCAATTAACATATTAATTAATTAATACAATTAAAAATCATACGTAACTACATACACACCCGTATGAATATCAGTTACCTGTACACTGAAAATTTATGCAAACTGTAGTATTATAATATAAAATCCTGAAATTCTTTCCACAAGACTTCTATTAACTCATTTTAACAAGCTAATTTTAATTTTCGATTCCAGCTGCCCCAATCGCTTGGGAAGGCAGAATAATTGAGGTAAGTTTTTTCTCCGGAACCAAAAGTGTGATTTTATCAACCATACAATCACAATTTAGGTCATGTACGTATATTCATGGTTCATGTTTTAATAACTCCTTACGTTTGATTTATTTATGTAAGTTGGTAAAAAACGAATGAACGGAACTACAATTTGAGAAATGTCAGTCCGACTGGTTTGAGCCATCTTTGACTTCCAGACCAATAAAGATAAGATTAGAATTTCGATTAAATGCAGTTAAATCACATTTAGGACAACCAAAGTTTGAATTTCCCATCCAGATATGAAATCATGAAATTGTCATTTATTGTTTGCCGATTTAGTATGAATATTGGAAGAAATTATAGAAATATCTCTTGTTTGATTCCGATTTGATTTCTTTGTCAGTATGACACAGAAATATATTTTATATTTGATTCTACTATTTCAGTATGACAGATCCAAATAATGAATAGAATAACAAGATCCTCATTCATGTTTGATTTCAATTCCTATTTCAGTATGACAGATCCAAAGACTTCGCTGTCCGTGCAAAGTTTTCATACGATGCTCTCAACAAAAGGACACGTCGTGTTGACGAAATTTATTTTGATGGCAAGCGAGAATTCTACGATGTTCTGCAACTCTTTGATATGGTACGACGACTTCATTTTATAGCAATTTAGAGCACTTATTTCTCAAATGTTACATCATAATGTATGGATTCTCAATCATAATTATTACATTTAATTCTTTTACAAAATCAATTTACGTATACATTTACATAGAGATAGACACATAAAGTATGTAATCATCATACGTAACGTATCCAATTATCTCACGTAAATATAAACGTACACCACAAACGTCGACTTGTTCGCTGAACACGCTCAAAAACGCTTTTTTCATAATACTTGTTTCAAAAATATATTTCAAAAATCTATAAAGCATAACTATGAATACGACAAACAAATGCAGACGACATGCAGACTATGGTGTTTAAACTGCTTCTTTATTCGGTACATTAATATTCCATAAATACCAAATAAAACAAACAATTTACCAAACCTTTACCCAATCTATCGAATGTTTTTTTATTTCATCAAATGTAATAATCTATACAATTTATATTCGCTCAATAGTTTCACTTGTTCTTTATATTGACATTCACATTTGATATTTATACATGTATTTGTGTGATGCAGCGAATCAATTTGTTTTCCTTAACGCACGCATAATTCAATTAATTATTTGTACATTCGGTATTTAAATTATTTATATTCGGTAAATACCGAATGCCACATTCGATAAATTTCGTTATTTTTCGATAATTTACGAGACTTTCAGTCACGTGATATATTTGTACTATGTAGAATAGCTGCGCGGCCATTATGCAAATCTCGAAGTCACGTGACAAAATATCGAACAACAACGCAAGTTATCGAATATTACTTTATTGCATTCGGTAAATAGCAACTTAGCTTTCGGTAAAATGCATTAACTATGTCATAGAAAAATAAACCATTTGGTAAATATAGGCAAACTTATTTCGGTAGGGTTCAAATAGAAATTCAATATTGTGCATATAATGTGTTACTCTTAAGGAATACCATAACACTTTACGCCGAAAAATATCATTTAACGAATGAAATATGTAATTTAATGCACATAGTATTAAGTGATTGGCTATTTTGAAAACTTAATTTGCTGTAACAAAAGAAACGTTTTTACCGAATGGAAAAATGATTTAGCGAATATAAATATTTCATATATCGAATATATTTGAATTTAATGAATAAAGAAGCAAAAATAATGCCATAGCAGACGACATTCTTATCAATTCTACGTAACCTTGAATTTGACCCCTCTCACTCATTTCTGTTTTACTGTTGTACTTTAGGGCAAGGAATTCGCTGTAAATCTGGTGTCGCGCAAATGTGAAGTTCGACCACTGACAATCAGTTTCAGGGAGTTCCAGATCCCACAGAACGCTACCTTCTACACAGAGGCCTACATCGGGGGAACTTTATTGGGCAGCGGCGTCCTCATCTCCGCCTGGGGTGGTAAAACCGACCGAGGAGGTTAGCTTTCTTAATCAATATTTTCATGCGTTCGTTGATTTGTTAATTCCTTTCCACGTAGACTCACGTTCTTTCATTGGATTAAAATGCATGGTACATAGCCTTATATTTAGTATCATAAATAGAGGATATCCTATGATTTATGAGTGATATGATTTTTATCCACGAATGGATATGATATCTGCACAAGCGAGCGTAGCGAGAGAGTGTAGATATCAATATCCTTGAGTGGATTAAAATCATATCACGAGTAAATCGTAGGATGTTCTTTTTATTCCATAGTTAAAGTCATCATCAGAATCGTCGGAAATTAAGTTATTAAATTCGAATTTCCAAACGATCCGGCGATGTTGACACTTAGCCTCGTTTTGAGTCTGAAGTAGCAAAAATCCATAAACCATCGCATACGACGTCGTATGTCATGGCTAAAAAACCGTATGTTATGGTTAAGTGAAAATTTGTCAAAAATATCATATTTTACCACTGATTACAAAAATACCGTTTTTATTTTCACATGTTATCCTATGAATATCATGCTAACTATGGAATAAACTCAACTATGTCACTCTTCTTTTAGATTTCTATAGTGCAGACTACACAGTTGCTGACTGTATCCCAGTTAGAGATGAGTTCTACAGCAACCGTACACGAGGAATACACACTAAGTACGTCATAAATTCAACTTCAATAGTTAAGACAATAATCTGACTGCCACTTGAAAACCAATTTGATTGCAATCGATTTTATTTATAATCCATTGTGAATAAGAACTTTCAAAGAATATCATTATTATATTATCCACACATATACGTTGTTTTAATGTTTCCAAAATGCCATACATCTTCAATGTTTCCTTTTTCTTTCAGCGTCTATGACGTGACACTTGGTATATCTGATCCTAATATTTTCGTACCACCAAAGGAATGTATGTAAACACTACCTCAGAAGACATCCGTCGGGCAGTTACTAAATCACATATACTGTTTGCTTATTATGTTTTCCAGAAGGAACAAATAAAACGTAAAATTTATATTACACTACGTTGATTTTATGTTTAGTAGCAATCTACCCGTATACGTAAGTGGGTCAGCAAGGGTCAGAGCCGGGGCTCAGAGTAGCCCCCACATGGCAGCAGTCCAAATAAAATGCAAAAAACTGCAAATTGATCGTTTGACCATAACTGATTCTTGAATTAGGTCGACATTGTCCGAAGGCCTTGAGACACAGCGCCAAATAACTAGACATTCACATTTGACCTTGAGATGACCTTGGCCCATTCACATTGACTTTGACCTCAGGTCACCTAATGATAAGTCGTTGAGGGTCACAACACAGATCAATGGTCTTAAAAGCCAAATACCTAGATATTGAATTTTTACCTTGGAATGACCTTGACCTCCGACCTTCATATAATGCCCAACGGCCCACTTATTATGTTTACCAAGTATGAGGGCCAAAGGTCAAGCGGCCTAAGAGGAGATTCCTGGACGGATAGAATAAAAGACAGAAACGACAGAAAGGCAGACCAACGTGCTTTATAGTAAGAATATTCCATGGCAATATATATATTTTTTGGAAAATGACTCCTACACCAGTTCCGTTTCTAACTGAAGACTGGCGTGGTCGTATCTATGCGTTTTAGGCAAACAATGGATTTCATTTTCATTAGATCTAGAAGACTACAAAAGTTCTACAAGAACCAACGCATGTCATTCGGCCTACACGATCCTATTAAAGGACGATTCTCGGTTTGGAGAACAGTCTCCTGGGCTAATAATTTTTTTCATGAAAAATATAGAAATATTACCCAAATTAAACTATGAATATTCAAAAGAGGACATTTAAATCTACAAGATGTAAAAATAACAAATTGGTCTGAAGCAGGGATAACGCTCAATTAGACCGATTCAATAAAATTCAAGTCTCGATTTGGGGAAAAAAGTTTATCAGTGTACTGCGCTTATATTTTTTTGCGAAAAATCTAGAAATATTACCCAAATTAAATTATGACTATTCAAAAGAAGACATTCAAATCTATATTATGTAAAAAAATCAAATTTGTCCGAAGCAGGGATAATGCTCATTTAGATTGATGAACTTCGTTCTCCAAACCGAGAATCGTCCTTTAAGGAAAATGGGGCACGTATCATCACACTACAAGGGTTGATTCACCATTTGCTCTATTAATCTTAATAATTGATGAATGTTATTGTTCATATTTGGAGTAAAGTAATACAGACATGTGGTTGGATTTATTGCTTTTTTGCACGAAATATTACATCTATCACTATGGAGGGGGTGGTCGAAAGTACTTTGAACAACATTTACTGATTTTTATTTGAATAAAACAGTTAAAATCAACTGTTGAAATAATTGGATTAACCCTCGTAGAAGGCTTGCCAAATAAGTATGGGGCGTTTTCATAATTATTTTCACAATATACTAAAATCAGATTTGTACAGGAAACCTTGAAAGCACTAATTAAAAAGCACGGATTAAAAACAAGAAAACATTGATAATGATGTCCCAGGCCCAAAGCCAGGGGGGTCATGGGTTTGTGCGAGACCCCCCCCCCCCCCAAATGTGGAGCTACCTTTTTTGCCTTATCGACATGAGTGGGCTAAGCTCCCCCCCCCCCCTAAGTTGGGCCCAAAAGATGGTCGAAATACAAAATGGGCTCAGTTACATATACGCAGAATACGCAGCCACTTATTATTAAGAGTCAAGAACGTGTAAATTGAAAGTAATCATATATTTTGATCCTAGAATCGCTCAGAATGTGTAACGCATGTCCAAATATCCTAAATTTTCATGGGGAGCCTTCCCCCGGACGCCCTTGTTTTGCCCGGCCTATGGCCTCGCGTACTTACTACTAATCCTGGCTGCATCTCTAACAAGCTATTGTTTTAAAAGCTATAATTTGGCTCGAGTTTTGTTCATTCTAAATCAACCAAATAATAGGCATTTTAAAAACATTGGGCAATACTGGGCATCATTTTTGTCTTGTTAATAACACCATTGTAATTACCCAGATGCGAGTAAGTAGTTACCATTTTCACCACCAGGTGGCTGATTCGGGGTAAACAACATGTCAGGGTATTAGAAAGTTTCCCTAAACTTGAATATTCATCAGTTTTAGTGGTTCAATTATTCCCCTTATGTATCTGATACAAATTAAAATATGTCCAGTAAACGAAAATATTATCTGTCCAATATAAGAAATGGTATTTCACTTTTTGTACTTTTATAGTATGGAGTCTATGGGGAATCTTCCCTACTAGTGTGTGCCAAAACCCCAGAAAATCACAAAAACCTATGTTGTGGTAGCTTACTATGAAGTGACCCATTATCATTATAGATTGGTCCATCAACTATTCATTTTTACTTGTCTGCACTCAAAAAGGTGACACGAAAGGGCTAAACGGCTTGCACCAAGGTGCAACCATCAAAAAGATGAGTTTGATAAAAAATTATTTTTTTCAAATAATAGCAACGGGTATACAATATAGGAGGCAAATTTGGTATTAATAAGTATGAGAGTCCATTTGCGTGTGGCCATTTTTATAAAAAACAATAATTGTGAAGAATTATATATTTCTGACCTGAAAATACCGTATTTATTCAAAAGTCATGGTTGTTAATGATAATATTCCTATTTCACCTATTCAATGTTTTCAAAATATTTTAATTACCATTATATTCATTTTTGGCAAAGTAAATAAATATAGGGCTCACACAAGGATCAACTTTATTTGCAATATTTTCATATTTAGTGATGTTTTGAAAAAATATAAGGTTAAACACAATTTTATTTGTTAAATGTTTAACAAAATAAACAGAGTGTGTTTATTTCATTGTTTTGACTGAAAAATCGCAATTCATTGCTCTTCTTCTAAGAACGGCAGGGGATATACAAGTACATAAACAGTCTTAAAAAACGTTGATCCTTGTGTGATCCCTACTATTATTTACTTTGCCAGAAACTGATATAATGGTTATTCGGTGGTATGAAAATCATTTCAGAGGTAAAATAGGAAGAATGTCTTTGAACTTGGAATAAAAAGCATTATATGGTTAGAAATACTCAATTTTTACCATAATTGTTTTTAATAATATAACCATACCCTCATGGACTATCTTTACATTTCAATAACCAATGTGCATTATATTTTGCATGTTTTACTGCAATTATTTGTAAAAATATTTTTAAATCTTACATTTTTGACTGGAAAGTGAAGAGACAATACTCAAATATCCTCATATTATTGGTCACATTTGGTTATTTCACCCAAACAGATTCGGGATTTTTTAGTCCAGGCATATGAAGAAACTAGTGTGAATAACCCAGATGCGAGTAGAAATAATCAAATTCAAATTCAGTCAAAGTAATATCATATTTGAAATCTACATGTAAAATTACTTCTAGAAAGGTGGTTTTAAAAAGTGTTTATCAACTTTGAAAAATTAATTTTCTTTGAAAATGTGACTTCTAGCTCGGGGAGATTCCCCATAGACCCCATGCTATAAAATCACAAAAAATGAAATATCTTTTCTTTTAGTGGACAGATAATATTTTGCTTTACAGGACATATTTTCATTAGTATAAGTATCAGACACATAAGGGTTATATGAAAATTGAGCCACTTAAATTGATAATATTCAAGTTTAAGGGAACTTTCTTATATACCTGCCATGTTAATTGACCCGAATCAGCCACCTGGTGGTGAAACTGGTAACTACCTACTCGCATTTGGGTAATTAAATGGTCATATTATACAATACAATACAATACTGATCCAATTCAGAATTACTAGAGAAAGTAACTCTCATGGCTGTTGATTACTGTTTGCAGTCATTAAACTAATGACCTCATATTTGGATGTCCTCTCTTCTGATATGATTTTACAATTCACTTCAAATTGGCAAAGGACCAGGTATAGTATGGCAAGTGATATCTGATCGTCATATATTTTACCATGACTACTTTCTCAATATAAATATGACATTTCTCAAAAACACAATATGTTATCTTTCAAGAAAATTCGATTCTCAATGATTATAAAAATATCATTCAAACAATCTAAAAAAATATGAATGGGGAACCCATCTCAACATTTTTTTGAAATTATTTACTCAACAGAGGTTCTTATTTTTTATTTGAATTGCATGAAAATATTATTCAACAAGTGGTCTAAAACTTTTTCATTAGTAGAATTGTAATGAAAGTCTAGTTTTGGAGATATCAATTTTCAATGACCACAATTATGTTGAAAACAATGGATAGTTTGAGTTTTTCCAATGGAAAATAACATGGAACTTGTGGTTTTTAACTTTATCGCATTTCAATACCCGTCCCCTTTTCAGGATTTGTTAATTCATTAGCGTAGAAGAACTTTTGATATATTCGAATTGAGAAAAAATACTTTAGAAAATAAGCCTAATGTTTTTCAAAAAGTGACAAGGTGGGGATATTATCAATAATATTTCAGATATATTTTCAAATATTTATATTTTCAATTTCAATTTATTGATACATTCAAGCATTATGTTTACGAATGTTATTAATAACAGGTGGCACCACATTTGATGCTTATACCCGTACATATAGTAGTAAAATCATGTAGTGTATCATTAAGTTGTCAAGGAATCAAACCAGAATGAAATCATAAAAAATAAGTTGAAAAATAAAGGTTGAGGGGGATTCATGATGTTTTTTCTTTTTAAGTGAAGAAGTTGGATGATATCATTTTTATCACAGGGACTTTACATAAGAAAAATCATATTGTTTTCACAAAAACACATTCAGCCCCAAAACGCCAAATACTAATTAGATATTGAGCTATGACCTTGAAAAGATCTTGATCCATAAACATTGACTTATAGATGTCTGGTCATTTTATCATTGGTCATTAAATAGGACTGTAGCCCAACATTTGCCAACTACTTAGATACTGACCTTGAAATGACCTTGACACCAGGTCACCTAATCATTGGTCGCCAAAGGTCACAATTGTTCTCAATTGCCTTTAAACTCAAAATTGCGAAATGTTGACCTTGGAAGTCATCCTATCATGAGTCGCTAGGGGCCACAGCAGATGCCAGGGCCTTAATACACCAAATACTTAGATACTGATATTTGACCTT